TGTTTTTTTTAATTTTTTATGTTCTTGTTTGTGTTGATTTTTTTATAATATTTATAATATTTCTTTAGTTGCCATTGTGATGCTTGTTGATTTTACACAAGCAATAATTTTCTTTATTATTATTATCATTGTTATGACTTTACATCATTAATGAGAGACAGCATTGAATGAATAGACACGCTGAAGGAATATCAACTATCCTGATGACAAGTGAAATTAATACTAGTCTTGACACAAGTCCTTGTTCAAGAAGCTGTGAGCTGAGAGTGTCCATCTTCCCTGCAATGTTGCAGCTATTCCTGTTCTTCCAGGCTGTTGTCATTCATATTATCATTGCATATCATAACATTAATTAATTGTTTGTTTTTTTAAATAAAATAAAATCACACACTTGATAAAAGAGTAACATGTAAGATTAATACCTTCTTTTAGCTGGAAACCACCACTAAAGTATTGCAGTAGTTGATTCCAAGCATAGCTTCAGTCGGGCAGCCAAGCCTGATTTTGTATTTCCAACCGGAAGTGACGTTTATAGCAAAATGGCTGACATTTGGTCAAGTTGCTCTTCTCGAAATTAAGAAGGCATTGTAACAGGCAAAAGATATTTATAGGTACCTTTTTTAGTTCATGTGATGTAAATATGTTTATATTTTTATTGTATTCTTATTATTACTACAAAATAAGCACGAAGTGCATTTGAACTGTTAGAGAAGTTGGTAGAGAGAAAAAAAATGGCGGTCTAAAGTTTCATTTGATGACCTATAACTAGTGAACAGTAGTGAATGCAATCACAAGATAAGTGTAATATACAGTAAAATGTGTGTTTTATGAGCTGTAAGTTTTGTAAATGTATTAATAAAAAGGGAAAAGTTTTCTAAGGTATTTTGTCCAGACTGTGTGTAGTTGTGAGCTAATTCATAGCATATTCTGCATCTTCTATGAAGAAAGATTAAAATTATGTTGTTATTGTTGATTATACCTTCAATTAATTCATCTGTAATATCAAAATAGTCAATTTCATCTTCATCAGTATCATCTGTGTCTTCATTTGTCGCATCTTCTAGTTGTCTGTCTGCCATACTAATAAAATCCTCTTCAGTATCATTTCCTTCATCTATTAATTGATATAAATAAGTTAATGAAGCATTGTTGTCATATTTACCATTTTTTGGATTATTACAGGATACACACGAACATCCAGGGCCACAGGGCATGTCGTTTTTAATGCATTTGCATTTCTTGGTGAAGCATCCTGTCTTACATCCACAACCTTTGGTGAGAAATGATACTCTTTTTCTTATAGCCATTACATTCTCATTTGACTCCCAATCCACTGTTATCTTATCCTCATTGATGCTCCATCCAAAATAGTTTACTGGGAGCAATGTCACATCATTGTGGTATGATTGCTCCCAGTAATTTAAAACCCAAATAGATCTCAGCCAGTGTCTTTGTAGTGCCTCAAATGATGGGGGCAAATCATCCTCAAATGTTACTCTAGTCCATATCTGCTCCTTAACATGATTATAAAATCTCTTATGTCTTTCCATTATGCTCTCAGATTCAAATGATAGATACAGGGCTGGTGGTGTATTGCTTGAAAAGGCTTGTTTATGCTTCACCATATATGCACTTGCCACTAGCCTAAGGCATGCTAGGAAGCCATTTCCAGCAGGACTGTGACTGGCTAAAGTTCCTGGTGCCACTTTGGTGTCACCAGTAATAAATTCTGCATAATTAAGGAGTGTTTTTGCGAATGATGTCTTTGTTATTCCAACAAAGAATGATGTGAAGTCACAGCCAGAGAGAGCATACAAAGTGACTATTATTTTATTCCTAAGAGGCTTATCTACTTGACGTAGCTCAGGCTCATTCTGCAGGCATTCGCTTAAAGTATTTAAGGCTACAAGTTTAAGATCACTTCCAAGAGTGTTATATTGTACTAGAATTTCATGTTCAGCATGCATTTGTAGTAACCCTATATGATAGACATCAGTGTCTGGAGAGAATATTAATACTCGGCTACCATAGCAGGATTTGACATGTAACCATATGCGTGTATCAGCTTCTTCTGCATTTGTAGTGAAGGCTATTGCTACTTCCTCCAGACCATCTTTAGTCGTAGACCAGCACAGGTTTTGATCAGTTCTATTAGTACCTCCTGCAACAAACAGCTTCTGATCTCCTCGTAAAAATGTTGGGCCTAGTTCTAAAAATTTCAGCCCTAAATAATCAATGAATTTATACTTGCACACTCGACAACTAATGATATCTCTCCATTTACTTGGTATTTTCATTTCGTCACTAAATTCCAAATGCTCATGATCAATTCCAATTGTTCCATCTCGTCTCTCTCTTTCTATATTTTTTGGGTGCCATGTAAATGTACCTGGACTGTCAAATAAAACATGTAATTCGCAAACTCCTACTTGTAAATATTTTCCCAAAAACCTTTCAAAGAGATAGAGCGCATATTCTGACATTTTTGAATGCACTCGAATTGGTATTGCATTAATAAGGAACATTCCCTCTAGAATGACTAAATGTGGCACCCAACCTAAAGGAAATTCTAGCAAGAAAGCTTCTTCATACTTCTTTTCATAAAATTTGGTTATGCTGCTTTTTTGACCTTTATGGGGAAGTCCTTCCTTGGTGGCTATAGCTCGTGGTAGTTCCAAAAATTGCTCTGCCTCTTTCAGTGGCATCCCTGATACTTCCATTGACAATAATCTCTTTTTTAAACATTCCGTTACTAATTTCTTCTCTTTTTCAACTTGCACAAATCTCCTTTTTGTTATCTTAGTTGGTGTTAATGTCTTTAAATTGTGTTTTTTATGCTTGCTTTTTTTTTCTTTCAGATATGTTTGTTTGACAAGGTTATCAAAATCATCTTGACCTATAGAACGAAAGTTTAAAAGGTCATGCTGCTGCTCATATGTCGCAATCAATCCAGTGAAGCTGTTACGTAGCTGTAAAGATGAAGGAGCACTAACTAATGAAGGTAAAATAGCACTACTTCTAATTCCGCTAAGAATAGCTACGACATTTTCGTTCATTTTTTTTTCTATTGATGACATGTTGCTATTGCTAACTGGCTCTTTGTCAAATACTAAATTTCTGATGTTGCGCAAATTTCTACTTTTGTAAGGGAAACTTAAAGCAACCTGATTGATAGAACTTTTTCCAGGACGAGTGACAGCATCTTTAAGATCTCTATTGATCAGCATTTCATGGCATTCGTCTATTGCCACAGAATGCCATTCATTGCCAAGAATGCTTACCGCAAATCCACCTTTAAGAAAAGCTGCCTTAATATCAGATGGTAGTAGGAGACAATCGGCTATATGTTGTGGAATTATTCTTCTGTAGTTTATACGGTCAAAAGCCGAAAATACAGGAGCCATGATTTTTAGTGATCCCATTCTTAAGTTCCAATCTGCTGATCGAATGGCGAGAAATAAGGTTATGTAACCTGAACAGTTTGACAAAATAAATTCAGCCCAAAAGGACCAGTTAGGGTCACTATCAGCTCTCTTTGACAAAAATTCATAAAAGCTTTTGAAATGCAAGTCAATATGCTCCATTGACAGAGCTGAGTAATTATTATCAATTGTATTTGTCATTAGCAACTCAATTTTTTCAGAATCTGTACTTACTTTCAAGAACTCTTCATACATATGCATGTAAAAAGCCTCCCAGGACTCTAAAATAAATCTATGTGTCCTTTTAAAATTAGAACAGTTCACTAAGGATTTAATAGTTTCTCCTCTATGTCCAGCAAGATTGGCTAGTTGTTTTAAGCCAGCATCGAAATAAATTTTCATGAGGACAGGCTGAAAATTTTTAAGGACATGCCAGTCTCCTATAAATGGTATAAGCCAAGACATGTTAATGCCATGTTCAAACTTAAGTGTTTGTAAATGGCTGTATGTTTTGGCATCACCAGTTACCACTAAATGTTGTGTTTCACTGCCTACTTTAAACTCTTCATGCAGTAATGACAAGACCTCAGCTATCGTTTCCTTATTGTCAGCATTCTGGTCTAAGACGTTTAAATATGTATAAAGTGCCCTAGAACATTTCACATTTCTTACTTTATTAAGAAATGATTGCAATGAAAGTACTGTTTCATTTTCATTACTTGTCAGTAAAGCATTTTTAATTCCTATGTATAAGAAACACAATTTTTGGAATAGGTAAAGCTGATCTGATTCAGGTGTAGTAAGCTGAAAATCACTGAGTGAAGCATTTTTCAGTGATGTGTAATGATTTTCGGTGAGTTTTTGCAGTGGATGGTAGGCTGGATCTGGAAACAGCAGTTTTTTACTACTATTTACTGTAAGTTGGTTTATAAACTGTGATTCTAATAGAGACCTACCCCTTCTCTTGCTTTTTTTGTAGTCTGGACTATTGATATCTTTTGTTGGAGATGCAATAGGGTGATTCTTACGCTTACGACAATCATTGGTTGGACTGGCAGAGGAATGTGAGACAAGAGGCTGCACAGCTTGCATTGTTGTACCATGCCAACTACGACTTTGGTCTCCACTGTAAACTAATGCTGAACTCTGAAGAAAGTCAATATTATCAACTGATAGTACAGTAAAAGCATTTTTCTGGAGGTTAGCAGTTAATCCTTCTTGCAGTCGTCTAGATATCTGATATTGAATGTAGCGTTTGTGTGTATCTGTAGAAGCTACTGCTCCAAAATGGTTCAGTACCTGAATTAATTCCTTTGAACCACCGCAAGACTCAACAATATCGGTTAATAAAATATGTAATGGTATGGAGCAGTTTCTGTTTGTACAGAACATCAAAACACACAAACTATAAATGCATGTCAATTTTTTTCCATGCGTCATATCTGTTTTACATGTACCTTTGCACTTGGTAACATTTGTCATAAAATCCCATAACATTGGATTGACCTCACTTATGAATGTATCTTTATCAAAAGATGCAATGTCATATGGGCTTTTTTCATCCTCCTCTAGGATTCTGTTTGTTTCATTATGCAGGAGTTTGTTAATTTCAAGTGAGGCATGTTTGAGGCAATCTGAATTGTTAAGATGTGGATTATGTGTCTGCAATGCAAAGGACTCTTCATTGCTATCAGGAGATTTCTGCAGCAGATTAACACCCTGCTTTCTTGTAAGTGATAAAACAGATGATAAAGTTTGACCTAAATTAGCACCCCTCCTATACAGCATTAACCCATCCTTGAGCTGGTGACATTCACATATTACATGCTTTCCAAATGTTATGACAATTTTTGTTACTAGATACTTCTTTGGAATAGTTTTTGTTACATCTACCTCCTCTACTACAATATTATTGAGCGAAGCTACATAAATGGCATTCTTCACAAAGGCATCATAAACGTCAGGAAATAGCACAGCTAGTTTTTTCAAAAGCATTTCACCAAGCAAAGTAAATGTTTTTACTAATGCTTCAGTAATAAAATATTCATATCCTTCATCTTCCATTGTGAGAGTTAAATTCTGTAAAATTTCTTCTAGCTCTTCATTTCGACTTATTTCTTTTGACGCTTCTCGTATTTTAAGATGATGATTGTAGCAACTAGAACATATTCTATCATTGTCATCTAATTCTATGCTGATACCCAGGTCATTGTAATAAGCATGAATCAATGATACGTGACTGCATTTTCTTGCTAATCCACGTATTACTGCATTGCAAGTTTTACATCTAATTTTGTTAGCTGAGCAATACATCGACTTGTTACTATTAATATATCGATGTACTCTCCTGTAATGCTCATTACATAGAAATACAGAATCAGATATATCAGACCTGAGGACAAATATTTCTGCCACTGTATCAGCAGAGCATATTGCTGTCTTAGTAACATTGCATGACTCGTTAGAGCATTCATTAACAATACATTTTCGAATAACATTATTTTTAGCTCTCCATCGTGGAATATAGTTAGCCGTGCCCACACCATTCTTGAAATCCCTCTCACAGTTTCTGCATATGCAACTCTCCTTATTCACTTCACTGTTTATTTCTAGGAGCTGACTGAAAAGAGACTCCGACCAAGTTGCAGGATGAGCATAATTATGTTGTTTAGACTGCTGGCAAAGAAAGCATGGCCCACAGATTCTATCTGGATGAAAGATTTTGGTCTTAGGCATTATTCCTTTTGCCTACATAATGATACAGTCGAATTTTATACCATAAATCAGTTTTTTTATTACTTTATGAGTATAAAGATGAATGCAATTTAGATTTTTGTTGCATGTTAAAGATAAATAAAATATTTAATGGTCATTAAAGTTTCAGAGTAAATATTACAAAGGGAAAATTTTTCTAAGGTATTAAAAACAAAGCAGCCATAAGTGACTCTTACCTCTTTCTTCTGTTACAGCTGCCTATGTGTGATTCGTGGCTTCTATATATTTATTAGGGCGGTACTATATAAACTAATAGACTTAGTAATGAAGACATTACTGTGCTATGAATTTTGTTTTCAAAGATATGAATATTTAAATAAAAAATTCAGTATCAGTTACACCCACTCAATAATTAAATTCCTTTGTCAGGCGCAAAAATAACTTTATACACAATTTATATTGACTTCCGGTCGCTTGGCTGCCCGACTGCATACTCGAATCGAAAGAGAAGTAGGAATCGTTTGAAACGATTCCGAATCAAACCACACCCTTTAATATTAATAATAGTTAATTAATCAGTAGTTAATACCTCAGTTATTCATCATTATTGCATTTTTATTGCTGTAATTGATAGCACGTGGCTTTGCGCATGCGCAAATGTAATACTCGGAATCAGTATTCGATTCCTGATTCCAGTCTTTAAAGTATTCAGAATCGGAATCGAATTCAAATTTCTGGAATCGCCCATCACTACTAGTATCTTACACAGCCAAGAGTTGGCATGTGGATCAGGACTGATTCAGTTTGAATCAATCCTGATATCAGACATGGAATATGGATTTTGGGGCAATCAGTCCTGATCAGGGTTGTTGTAGTTCTAATTTTAATCATTAGGAATTAGCAATTATTAGCTAATTCTAATTGTAATTTTAATTATAAGGATTATGCTAACTAATTGTAATTCTAATTGTAATCAATAAAACAACAAGTAATTTAATTAGGTAATCATTGTATAGTTATTGTACATGTACCAGGAGCCCACCATGAAAAGAGTAAACAGTGAAACATCACGCATAATCACAGTCTCCTCTCACTTTCTGCATTCATGCATGTGATGTGGCATATCAACTGTTATCGTCTTACTCAAAAAAACTTTGAAAACCTTCATAAACTAAATGCTATCAAATTAAATTGCTAATTTAATTACAAATCTTTTAAAGTCATTGTAATTCTAATGATTGATTTAGTCAATGGTTAAAGCTAATTCTAATTCAAATCATTACATTGCCAATCATCAAATAATTGCAATCATAATGATTAATGACTCTAAATAATTACAACAACCCTGGTCCTGATACAGTCATGGAGTCAGCCATAGTACAGGCATGATAGGCATCTATAGCATTAGGGGATAGGCCAAACCAACTTTAATGATTCAGCAATGATGGCTGTCAGGGCTGTACCAGTAGTGATATCAGGCCTGATCCAGTAATTTTGGGCAACAGTCCTAGATCAGGCATAAAAATTCTTGGCTGTGTACATAATCTATAGGCTATCTAAGGCTACCGCCTATATAATAATAATAATAATAATAATATTGATAATAATAAATCAATTGAATTTTATGTTATGACCAAACACTTGAATATTTTTATATGTAATATATATATATATGATACCACAGGATTTTAGATCTGTCTTGGGAGGTTTCACAGATTCTTCCAACGATAAATCACTCATTGCTCTGCTCGAAGCTGGATTGAGGAATTGAGGAGACTCTCCAACACAAAGGAATGAGGTAAATTAAAATATGTATAACTTACTTTGTCTTAACCAGAGGAGAGTTGCAACACAGAACCCTCCAACTCCTTCGCTAATGGTAGGTATTTCAAACACTTTACAGGATATTATTTTCCCAGCAGAGAAGTCTTAGCAGTTCAGAGAGCAATGATGATACCACAATTTTAAGAAGAATTAGGCACAGAAAGGTAATATTGCTCTCATGTGTCAAAGAATTATGCCTTTTTAGAGAGTTCCAAGACAAGAAACACCAGAACCAACAGTAATATATGCCATACAATAAGTATGCCTTTACTTAATTTTAGAGAGCCACTCGAAGAAGACTTGTTTCCTCAGATGAAGAGGCCGAACAGAGAACGGTAAGAAGCAATTTCTTAACTTACTTTATATTACATGTAGACATTTCAATACAATGGTGTGACATACACTCACCCACGTTTTATGCCTTTTGTGGAGGACACCAATGCATTATACATTGACATCGATAGCCTGAGGATAGCAGTGTCTGCACCAGACCTCCTACAAACATTTCCAATCTATTCTCTGGCCCAACTCTCTTCCACTCGACACCTACATAGACAATTGAAACAATACACTCATGTGGGAACTGCAGTTGGGTATCAAATGTACGTAAAGACACTACCTTTTGCCACTAAACAGAGCGTGTGCGAATACATATCAAGAATTGGCCCATTGGTCCACCCATCAAAAAAGATAGGTGTCTTTTTTACTGGAAAAATTGTATGCCCATCCGGTCTACTGCTTGAGGCTCTCATAGCCTCGAGCATTACAACTCTTGTTCTAGAGGCTTATGGGCAAAAGGCTCCACTACACACAGTGCAACTGCTAGCAAATATACAAGTCCAAGACCCACTTTTACAAGTGAGAGTGGATATTGGAATAAATGGGTCTTGCACCGGAATTCCACTATTTTTGACATCTTCTGGTAGAACCTACCTGATGCTATTATATCTTGCTGGATCAAGGTATGGATCGACTACCACTAATTTGCAGTCTTTATGTGGTCACCATCGCGTCATAGTCTATCCACAATTAGTACATCACACTAAGGCCTATTTTCATACTTCCATTCAAAGACCAGCTACAAACAAAGCCCTGAAAAAGAAGCGAAAGTACATGGAGACTGCAGTGACGGATCTTATTGCTACGAATGACCTCACTGGATATACTGAATTGCAAAATCACATTCAAATGAAGGAATGGGCAGAATTAGCCACAAGTACTGGAGAACCTCACTACGGAGTGAAGGGAAATTGCATTCTAAGCGACTATTTAGAAATTCCAGAATGTATTCCGATTGATTACATGCATTTGACATTAGAAGGTGTTTTCAAGCAGCTTATGAGGCAATGGTTTGACCAAAAGCATCACTCTCAACCTTTCAGTTTGAGAAAGTATGTTCGCGACATTGACAAATTGGTCTTAAGCATCAAACCAGCTAATGAGATCCAACGGCTCCCACAATCACTAGATTCTCTTTCATTTTTTAAAGCCTCGGAATACCGAGCTTGGTTGCTCATTTATGCCCTCCCTGTTTTGTCAAATTTTCTACCTCCAGAATATGTTCATCATCTTTCATTACTTGTTGCATCATTTCATATTTTACTATCTGATGAAATCAGAAGAGATGAATTAGAATTAGTCCATCAAATGTTAGCCACATTTTATCAGTTATCTGGAGAATTATATTCACTAAACATGTATACTGCTAATATGCACTCGCTCATTCATACAGTGCCATTTGTTCAGATATGGGGGGCCACTTTGGGGATATTCAATGTTTGGATTTGAAAATTTAAATGGATACCTGGAAAAAACGTATCATGGGACAAGGAGAATTCTCTTTCAAATGAGTTTTCAAATACAGTTACTGCAAACAGTACCTAAAAAATTGGAAAGTTTGAGTAAATTAGAAAGTGAGCAAACCCAAGAGTACGTTAAACAACTACTATCCCAAAATAAAAAAGCATTCACTAAAGTTTTTGAAGGCTGCTATGTCGTTGGTAAAACAAATGTACATTCTCTTATGGCAGATGAAATGACAGTCACATTGTGTGGAAACATTAGCACAACCAGGAATGTACTACAATTTAATACTCTGATGCTGAGGAGTGCATTATTCTATAGTACAAAAACTGGTAATAGCAAGTCAAGAAACAACTGTATGTGTTTGTATCGTGATAACAATGATTCACTGCAAATAGGACAAATTCAATCTTTCTTTTTGACAGCAGAAAACATTCCCTTCTGTCTTATAAAGAATTATCGATTAACCAATAGTTCACCAATTAGTCACCTTCGACCACCATGGAATTCTACAATACGACAACTTAATGTCCATTCTCTACTACAAAGACAAATTATTGAAGTTCATGTAACTACAGAAATAGTTGCCATACTTGTAGAAAAACTCTGTAGAAAATGTGTTCTCGTTGAAATTAAAAACTCAAAAAAATTTTGTATTCCATTGCCTAATACTTTTGAAGTTCACTAAAAATAATATTAATCATTTTGTTTTTTGTAATTATGTGCTCTCGCTCATTCTATGTACACATGTAAGATTGTATATAAGAGCTTACCTGCTATGCTTGTAGTGACATGTCAAATCACGTGTTAGATCTTGTCAAAACAAAATTTACAAGATTTTACATGTAAGCTCTTGTGCAAGATTTTACCTGTATGTGATTTACAAAATCTTTTAAGATTTTTTATGACTTAATTGAGATTTTGTGATGCATAAAAAATTCATGCAAGATCATATGTAAGGTCATCTTATTAGTGATTATTGTAAGAGCTTTACATAAGATCTCAAGTAAGATAATGCCTGGGTATTTTAACAGGAATATTGTAAGAAAATTTATGTAAGATCAGGCCTGTGTATCTTAACAGGGATATTGTAAGAAATTTCATCTAAGATCTTATGTAAGATCAGGCCTGTATGTAATAGCTAAGATGAATCAAACTTAATCCAAATAAGATCTTATAAGGTAATTCTTATTTCTTATCTCACCTTACTTAAACTGATCAGATCATTAAAGATCTTATTAAGATTTTTTTGCTGGGATATGTACATACACTGTATGATGGTCTATCCTTCATCATTAGGTTACTGACATCACTGATGCTATGATACTGAAAAGTCTCTTCACATCATTATTTAATAACAGAGTCACTGTTGTAGCTACTTCTAACAGACACCCTGACTGATATACATGTATTGTTATTATTATTATCATTATTATTATTATTGTTGTTGTTGTTGTTATTATTATCATTGTTAGATTTATATAAAAATGGTCTACAGAGGGGTAACTTTCTCCCATTTATTGATGTACTAAAGGTACATGTACACATTATTATTATTTATTATTAATAAATATTCATTTATTCATAGGATCATTGTACTATTATCCAACTGGATTCAATTGATTACAGGAAGAAGTTATTATTATCTGAAGGAGTGTATTTAGTGTAAGTCAGTAGCAATTAATGAATCAATGACTTCATTTCTTGTTATTTCTCAGTTCTTGTACTGTACATGTGTGTCTTCTGTCTAGTCCTAATTCGTCTATCAATAATTCTAAATTGTTTCAATTATTTACTGAACTCTGTCAAAGGGAAGGAAAAGGTTTGTAAGCATCTAATTGTGTGATGGCAGTAAAGAAAGATAGCATTCCCTGTAAGTCATGTATTTTAAAACAATTTACAATCAAAAATTAACTGTATAAACAAAGTACATGTAGCATACAGTGTTCTTTATATGTAACATAAACCATAACTGTGTTCATAGCAGTAGTTAAGGGTGCTGCACCACCGCCCACGCAAATTTTTTAATCTGTTGCTAAGGGAGCTGTTTCTCCCAAAGTACTTTACCAATCATAATGAAACCAGTACTAGTTACAAGACAGTAACTAAATAAGTTAGTAAGCTACCTTGGAGCCTTTAACTCATAATAGCTTTGGCATCAAGAGCTAAAATACTAAAGATTTTTCAAAAGCGAAAAACTCCTCTTACTTTTGATTTGAATAACCAGATTTCTAGGTGAATGCAGTTTTTAACCAAACAAATTGATTAACATAGAGATATTTCTCCTTTTCTACTAGTAATGCCACTTAGTTTGATTTTCATATTGCTCAACACCACATTTTCCTATATTAGCCCTGTTTAATTGAAATATCTCTATGTTACTGTATGTGTAATCATGTAAAGAGGCTATATTGTAAATTTGGTCTGATTCTGATCACTACAGGCAAAGTTTTTCGAAAGTTTGCATTTTTCTGGCATAAAACGCCAATTTCAAAATCTAAACTTCATTTTACAGCTTTATATATTTCCAGTCCCTTTCTTAAAGGTTTTTCATTAAAATAAAACCCATTTTTAGAGGAGCATAAAGAACCTAATAAGATTCTTATATGGGACACTTGTATGGCTTAAGCATTCCTGCATAAAATAATTGTTGCTATAGGCAGCACCCTTAACATAGAGTTCAGTTCCACAAACACCTTATCAGTTAGACCAATAGCTGAGTGAGGCTCAGACATAAAGATCCATTTTATGGGGCCCCATAAAAGATCTTTAACCCGCCATTTCTGGTTCTCAAGGCCAGACTGCTGTCCCTTGCCCAGTAAGCATATTTTCAAATAGAAGGGAAACCCCATATTCTGTTAATTTCGACTCTTAAGTCAATGGATGTGTTGAGCTTTGAAGATGCCAGTACTTTCAATCGAGGTGCAAGCCCAGCGCTAGGCTACGGTTATGGTAGCTGGGTCCTGAGACATAGCCCGGGGGTTAGGTCGAAACACAAATACACACACACACACACAATGTACATGTACATGTACTATAAGATGATAAGTTAAGCGTTATGACCAATAATTCACTCATTTTTTTGATGGGTAGGACAAAATTATGCTCATTAAACTCAGAATTAATCTTATACCACTAACTGAAGTCTGTCCCAGACCTTCCTTCTTAATTCCCTTTCTCCTCTTTTAGTTATTTCACGGACCAAGTTAAAGTTTTTAGGACAAGAGCTACTCATAGACCAGTCATGTGCTGACTTGGCATATTTCCACTTTGATGAGCTTTGTAACAGAGTGAGTGATGTACATTTATACTAAGGGAGTGCCCCCCGACCCCCCACCCCCCTGGGTGAAAAACCACCTCTTGTAATAATAACACTTCCCATAACCCAAGGGTGATCTCTCAAAAGAGGAATTATATACTGTACTAGTACATTAGTAGTATAGTATAAGATGTGGTTGTACAGTCAAACCTCTTTATAACGAACCCCCAATTAGTGGACACCTCTCTATAGCGTACAGTTGCTCTTGTCCCGGCCATAAGGCCATTGGGTAGTATATAAAAGAACCTCTGTATAGCAGAGCCTCTCTATTTTGTATAACAGACAAGATTTACTGTCCCCACACATCTACACTTGTACAAATCATAGATATACAAACACATATCTATGATTTGTATATCTATGTGTTTGTATATCTATGTACAAATTAACCTCCAATGGATGGACATGGCCCACACAACAGACTTTCTAATTTACGTGCATCAAGAAAATGGCTGATTTTCTGGTCTGATTAGCATGGGATAACCTCCGATTTAAGGACACCTCCGTATAAAGGACAGTGATGGCTGGCCCATAGGTGTCCATCTTAGAGAGGTTTGACTGTAATTGTTTTTCCATTTACATGTATAATTGGTTCTTGTAGTATACTACATGTACAGTTACGTGTATGTGGTTTTACCAGTAAAATAGTATGACAATCAGTAAAACAGTATGCAGTATAGTACAGTATTTCTATTACATGTATGCATGTACAGTTACTTTATAGCACATGGCTACTCTTGCCATGTGTAGGTGTCTAGACAAGTATATATGAGTCATCCTTCAAGGAATGAGTGATTGTAATATAATTAACTGGTTCCTGTATATATACTAAGTACAGTGACTTTATACTAGTACTAGTAATGATTTGTTTTTATTTGTGGTTTTACCAGTAACTACTAGTACACTACAACACACACACACACTGTACCAATGGACTAATAGAGTGATAGGAATAAGGGAATTGAAGATTATTATTGCCCTTGTAAAAAATCCCAGCAAGATCTTATAAGATGTTTCATGATTTCACATGACAATACAAGAAAACGCAAGATAGAAATCTTGTAAAATCTTGTCACAGAAATTCTTACAAATTCTTGCTTTAAGATTTCATAAGATTTTAAGAAGCTGTCAGATCTCCCGAGATCTAACATGACTATAATTTTTGTAAGAATTTCAAAGATCTTATGAGTAAAGGAATATGTTAGAAAATGTAAGATCATGCCTAATTAAAATCTTGAAATATCCCACATTGTGAACTTTGTAAGAACTAACATGATCTTGTTAACTTAAAATCTTATAAGATCTTACAAAATCTCATAAGTTTATGATCTTGGCAAATCTCCCATGATCTTATGATACTGTAAGATCACACATCACAGTATTTTGAGTCTTACAAGATCTTGAAAGATCTTACAAATCATGTGACGTCACAGGAAGTAATTGACAACCCACGATAGCCTTAACAGTAATGGCAGCATATAAAGAAACTGAAGTTTTAATCACTTTCAATCAAAAAAATCAATGACGTTCACATTCACATTTCACAACATTTTACACATGTATTATGCATTCATGCAATGTAAGATCTTGCCTAGATCTTACTGTTGCATTAATTTTTAAAGAGCATTGTATGCTAAAATACCATGCAAGAACTTGAAGGAATCTTGATAACAAGATCTTCCACTATCTTACATGATCCTTGTTCCAAATTCAGGAAAGATCCTGTTAAGACTTAGTAAGAATCTTGAAAAGATCTTGCATTTGATCTTGCAAGAACTTGAAGGAATCTTGATAGCAAGATCTTCCACTATCTTACATGATCCTTGTTCCAAATTCAGGAAAGATCCTGTTAAGACTTAGTAAGAATCTTGAAAAGATCTTGCATTTGATCTTGCAAGAACTTGAAGGAATCTTGATAGCAAGATCTTCCACTATCTTACATGATCCTTGTTCCAAATTCAGGAAAGATCTTGCGAATTATTGTCAAGATTCTTGTCATGATCTTGTAAGAAAATTAACAAGATCTTGCTGGGAATTTTTACAAGGGTGTTGTTGTTGTTATTATTATTATTATTGTTGTTGTTGTTATTATTTGTTTTTTTTGTTTGCTATAGCCCCTAAGTGCTGCTGATTACATTGAAATATGTAAAGTATTCAATACAATATTCATACAAGATATTCCATGCATTACTAACCAAATGAGGACTCAAGGAAGACGATTCATTACACTAATAGATACACTCTATGATCATAAAGTATGTGAACTAACTATACTGTGTGACTCTCTCTCTCTCTCTCTCTCTCTCTCTCTCTCTCTCTCTCTCTCTCTCTTTCTCTCTCTCTCTCTCTCTCACTCTCTCTCTCTCTCTCTCTCTCTCCCTCCCTCCCTCTCTCCCTCTCTCTCTCTCTCCCTCTCTCTCTCCCTCCCTCCCTCTCTCCCTCTCTCTCTCTCTCCCTCTCTCTCTCCCTCTCCCTCTCTCTCTCTCCTCAGGTTGAGTTAGTGTGTACAGCTCAAACTTCTCCTTCAAAATTATTTTCCAATAAAATAATGAAAAGTGACAGTGATCATACCAGACAACTAATGGATGACCTTCAAATTAATCAAGTATATATTAGTATTATTATTATTATTATTATTATTATTATTATTAATAGGAGGATGCAGTGTCTTACAGTATATTTACTGGTGAGGAAGAGCTCTTTGCTTATGACAGAACAATATCAAGACTGTATGAGATGCAGAGTAATGAATATATAATGATTAATAATAATAATGATAATTGATTATTTAATACATGTAGCTTATATTTATTATTATTTTTATTATTTTCACCAAATTATGTACGTGTAGCTTTTAAAAAACATGGACCTGTTTGTGTCCATATATGGCAAGTACACTAGTGTATACTGTAGGATGAATTTTAAAGTTTAAAATGTTCATAACTATTTGTCAAACTTCTACACAGCATAAAGACATCAATATATATCAGAAAATGTATTAAACATTTCAAGTGATCTTAGTTGTTTGGTGAATATTGTATTAGTGGTTATTCATGAGCTTTGGTGAGTGAAAATACAGCAATCACTAGCTCTTGCAATATTGCACTGTAAATCATTGAATAATGTGTTTATTTTATACTATAGAAATAGGAGGGAGTCATAAGGTGGGTAGGATATCTATCATGCTGCTATGTGCATTTCAGTATTACTTGCCACTCCATATTGGCCTTCTATAATGTAGTTTATAGTTTTATTGTAAAAGTGGAAAAATCATCAAAAAAAGAAAAAATTGTTTTAAAAGAAACAAGGAATTGTATGAGACTGTAATTTAAAACTTAACTTTCTAAAAATGTACTATACTCTTGCTGAAACTAATAACAACAATAATTGTGTCATTAATTTAACAACAGTAATTGTATGATTAATTTAAAAACTGGCAGCAAAAATTACTAAAACAATTCAACAACTGATTCACGACTGGCACAGCGTCTAACATCAGTAGAACTTGGTACCATAGCTCTCCTTTGTTGATCAACAGTTAGATGTGATTCAGTGACATCTAAAAGAAGATCATCATCTTCATCTTGTTTCTTGATTAACATCTTCATTAGAGCATCATAACATTTCATGTGTGATAGCTGCAGGTAAAGATGATAAACAACAATCAAAATAAAACTAAAAATGAAAACAGATAAACAAGTATTGTACCAGATCAATACTTTACTCTCATCAGTAAAGGCTATAGATAAAGAAGCCATGATGCACAAGTTTAATAGGAACCAAAATTCAATGATATTGTTCAATTTCTTTCTGTACACACCACCAAAGATAAAACTAAGGGAGAGGATAATAGCTGCTACTGCCAATAGCAAGACACGTGATTCATTCTTCAAAAAGGTGACAGTTAAAAGTACTGGTATCCTAGCCACTAGGAGTAGACCAGGCCAGAACCGATACTCATCTTTCATTGGACCACTATAAGCATCAATAATAGGCTTGAAACGACTCCAAAATTTTCTGAAAACTTTGAAATTTGAAAAATACTTCTCATAAAAACGATTAAGTAGAAGGAACAGTGTGTATGGTATGACAAAGAAAACAGTCACTAATAGGGCAAATCCAAATAGTCCAGCATGCTTCCCATTAGCATATTCAACATTAGGATCCTCATACCATAAACTAACTGATTTTACTGACTCATTTGTACAGTGAAGAGTTACCTCATGCTTGTGTAGTACA